AGTACATCTACTCACAAGGCATTCACTCATACAGACACATATATACACATGCAACTATGTCTGTGATTCATTTTGAGCTTTTGGGTTTTTGGCTTGGTTGGATTTTGGTATTTGACACAGTATAGACCCAGCATGCCTCAAACTCATAGAGATCTACCTGCTTCTGCCTCCCAAGTAAGTGCTAGGATTAAAGGCATGCAACACTACTCTTAGCTTGAGTTAAATTTTGTGAACTGTGTGTGTGTGTGTTTGTGTGTGTGTTTGTATGTGTATATGTGCCTGAGTGCATGTGTGCATACACCCAGACACACTCATGAATACTTGTGCTTTTCCTAGAATTGCCTTTGCTCTTTTATGAAAAAAAAAAAGGCTGTACTGCCACCACCCAGCTAATAAAAGCAACCTTTTAAAAGGCTTAATCAATGTGTGTATGGATATGTCTGTGTGAGTGAGTATATGTGCAGGTGCACATGCTTGTTCAAGGGCAAAAGCCAAAAGAGGGAGTCAGAACCAAGCGCAGCCATTAATTGTGGATACCTGGCTTTATATGTGGGTCCTGGGAACTGAACTCCAGTCAGGGTTACACAGTAAGCACTCTCTGTCTCTGAGCTCTCTCCAGCTTTGAGTATGACTTTAAATGAAGAAATGTGGGAAAATGTAAGAACCGAAAATTGTAGTGTTGTAGCAGACTGATGAGATTTAAGAAGTGAAGATAATGAAAATGGTTACATTAATTGGAGCTTGTGGAAAAGAGAAGCAGTAGCACCAGAACCTGTAACATGTTTCTGTGTTTTAAAAAACATTTTTATTTATGTGTATGTGTGTAAGTGCCCACAGAGGCCATAAGAGGATATATGTGTACCGGCACTGTGTGTGTGTGTGTGTGTGTGTGTGTGTGTGTGTGTGTGTGTGTGTGTGTGTGTGTGTGTGTGTGTGTGTGTAAGGTATCTGTGGAGGCCAGGAGAGGGTGTTGGATCCCCTGGAACAAGAGTTACAGGTGGTTTTAAGCCAACTGCTATGAGTGCTGGGAACCAAACTTGTCCTCAGAAAAAGCAATAAGTGTTCTTAACTGCTAAGCCATCTCCTTAGTCCCATTTTCTTTGCTTTAAAAATAGTCCTCTTCTAAATATATTTTGACTAACATCAAGCTTGATAACTTCTTAAATTTATTATGTTCTTACTACATGATTTTTGTTTTAGCCTTTTATTTGTAAATTGTTCTGTAGTATTTTTGTTTGTTTAGATATGGAGACAGCATCTTATGTCACCTAAACTACTGGCTTCAGACTTTCAATGTATCAAGACTGGTCTTGGTCTACTGATCCTTCTCCCTCCACCTCCCAAGTACTGGGATTACATGTGTGTACCACTTCACTTGACTTTAGAATTGAAGTTTCTTAACTAACTTGCTGATGTGACTGTGAAGGTTCAAATAAATGTGGTCATATAATGTATAAATTAACATATATTAAACAATAAAAGACTGATGCTGTATTCACTAGCAAAACAGACACCTATTTACTGAATTTATATAATGTATTTTCTTCCCTTTTCTGGTAATAATACAAGAATGCAAATGACACAATAGTTGAAGCATATGGTTTGTCTTTTTCTGCTTTCCTTGGGAACCTTATAAAAAAAAAGAGCTGGGCAGTGGTGGCACACACCTTTAATCCCAGCACTTGGGTGGCAGAGACAGGTGGATCTCTGTGAGTTTGAGGACAGTCTGATCTAGGACAGATTCAGTTCTAAGGCAACGAGGGCTGCACAGAGAAACCCAATAAGCAAACAAAAACCCAAAAGCCCTCGAAATAGAAATTAAGGGTAGGCTCTTTCCCATGTAGGCAAGCATTCTATGATTAATCTGTATCTCTATCCGAGAAACCCTTCCCCCCCCTTTAAAAGATTAAAATAAGGTTTAATGTTTACTTTGTCTGTTCCATTTAATCTGATTGTGTTTGTGTTATCTACCAGTAACTGTATACAAACCATTTAAAAATATGCTATTGATGGTAATCTGAAGGTTGAAGCATTAGTTGAATGTGCATATGAGCTATACGTTCTATTTGTGTGCTGAAACAATGTGTAATACAAGGAAAGAAAATAAAGCTGCCAGTCTCTAACATACACATGCCTTATTTTCTTTTTCTTTCTGCATTATTGTTTGAGAGATTTGGATAAAAGACAACCAGAGGATATTGGATACATTTGAAAATGAACATAAATAGGAATTTATTCTATTGTTCATGTAGGAAATTTACTGATTAGTATTATGGAAATTCTAATGTCATTTTACAGTTTTAACACAAAACAAATAGAAAACATAATAATATAAAATAAACTTTAGCATACTATAAGCATATATCCTTGGATTGGATTATGCATTATGTATCCATTGTCAGCTTGCAGCTTTGTACCTGTGATTGTATCGTTAGGGAATTAGAAATGTTCTTAGGAAGCTTATGGTCTAAAAACCTCTGCCCTCTTACATACCAGTGATAACTGCTATAACCTGGCAATTGGCAGGGCATGGTGTCACATAACTTTAGTTCCAGCACTAGAGAGGCAGAGGCAAGTGACTCTCTAAGACCCTGCCTAAAAAGGAGAAGACAGCATATTTTTTTTTTCAAGAGTACTCACAGTTGTTACACCATAATGGTCATACACAAGGCTTCTGTCACTCAAAAAGGTGTGGAGGTTCTTCCACCACCAAGTAAGCGATTTTGCAGAGATAAACATGGCCTTGGTGGGTCTGACACTGTCAACCTTGAAGCTGACTACAGCAGATCCTACAGGTTGAGCACAAATTGTTAAAATTGTCCTTTCCCAGAGTTGAGGTTCCCCTTCTAAATCTGTGATTGTTTTGCTTGTGGTTTTGATCAACAGGCTGTAAATAGCTTCCTTCTCACTACTGGATTCATTTGTTTTGAGTGTCTCATGAAACTCATGGAAATTTAATTATGGTTTTCTGGTTATCAAAGATGTTACAAAGGGTGCAGGTGAAAAGGTGCAAAGTGATTGGGCTTATAGGGCTTCCATGCCTTCTCTGAGGACCCTCAGTGTCTACAGGGATCTGTCTCTGGGTTGTTATGGAGACTTTATTGCATAGTCATGATTGAAGCATGTAGAAATATGACTGGACAAAAAGGAGTATGATCTAATGCCAATAGTGGGAAAACCAAATGAAGCTTCTTGTTCATATTCCTCTGGACCTCTCTATGGCATTCATTCTTTCTGGGTAGGAGGCTGTTCTCATGAAGTGTGGTTCAAGGGGTAGTGTTATTCTGATCTACTGCCAGACAAATTAGAACTAGAATTTCTCTATGGTCATTTTCAAAGCCGAGAAGATAAGAGTATATTTTTGTATGAATTACCTTGGGGGAGGAGAAATTGTAGTTTTATGGTCTGCCTTGGGGAGAAAAGGGAGGAGATAACAGAATAAAGGTGAGATAGAGAGGCCCTGTTTTCTGAGACTTATTCTGATCACTTAGGAAGGAACTATGGCTATGTGAACAATGAGCCAGGACGCTAGACAAAATCCAAAACATAATATCACAAGTACATGTATTATCAAATATAGCAATAAAATAATCTTATTGTCAACTTTTGTGTTAGACTCAGTTTTCACATGAAACATTGGAGAATTTTTAATAGGGATGAAGGCTAAGATTTCACTTTTGTGCCTTTATTTTCAATTTGGGTTTCTACTCAGAATAAAAATACATAATTCTTTTTTAAAACACAACATATGAGTCTTTGCGTCTTTATTTTTTTCTAGACAAGGTTTCCAGTTATAACCCTGGCTGTCCTGGAACTTGCTATGTAGACCAGGCTGGCCTCAAACTCACAGAGATCCTCCTGCCTCTGCCTTAGCCTAAGTGTTGGAATTAAAGGTGTGCACCACTACTTCCAGTTCACTTCTCTCTTTTTAAGGCAGAGTTGGGGTTTTATGAAACATCTTTTAATATCTGCTTAAGCATAGGGGTTAAGAGAGGCCTTGGAGAGAAACAATACCAGAAAGTGTAAGTGTGGCTTCTCTGAGATACTGTTGCCAGTTTGTACATTTTGAATTGCATGATTGCTGCCAGTGCTTGGTAAATGATGAGTAGAGGAAAGAGCAACACTTAATAGCCTCATTTTTAGTAAGTTCTAGACTAATTTTAAGAGGAGAACTTTGAATTAAATTGTTTACTGTTTATTTAACTTAGGTTTAATCCTTTTTGCTGAATAGCCTCTTACACAGTGATTTAAGAAAATTTAGCGCTTATTTTTCTTTTTTGTTACATGGACATCACTGAAAGAAATGTTTCATGTTAATTACTTTTGTGTGTTCCCTTAGCTTCCTGGTTTACAGTTTACTTAGCTTGTGTTAACTCATAAGTAACTAGTCCAAATGGCTAACCTGTTAAAACATATAAAACCAAAACCTGTTTTAGGAAGCGTTGAAGATCACTGTGCTTTACCATCGGATGGGATCCATTCTAATCAGTGATTTTCTCAGTTTGCTTTAAAATTTATTTTTTCATGGCATGGTGGCACATGCCTTTAGGCCTACCTGTTATAATTTTAAAAAAGCAGCTCAAGGGAGAAAGACACCATTCAACAGAGTTCAAGCAGAGGGTTTTATTTATCAAGGGAAAAGGATCTTAAAAAGGGGATAGAGGATGTGGGGAAGACTGGCCTCCTGGGGCAGGAGGGAGAGGGATGGGAGTGGGCAGGGCCCTTTTAAAAGGGAACATATTGAATAGGCACAAGTGGTGCTCTTAGTGGCAGTGCTGAGAGTGTATCTTGTCAGAACTCCAAAGGTAGGCAAATACAAATGCCTAAATACTAACACTAACAAACTTGGGAGGCAGAGGCAGGTAGATCTCTATGAGTTCAAGGCTTGCCTGGTCTACAGAAAGAGTTCTAGGACAGCTAGGGCTACACAGAGAAACCCTGTCTCAAACTCCACCCCCCCCAAATTAGTTTTTAACTGTATTTGTCTGTATTTTATGCAGGTTACAAAATGTCCTCCTATGCTTGAGACCTACAGACTACATGTTCTTCAAGAACTAATCAGTGGTTTTTCATCTCCCGGAAGTACACTAGAAACATAAATATGGTGCCAAAACTCATTCTCATCCTCTGACTGCAGTTGATTTGGACATACTTCTGTTTTGAAGAGAAGTATACACACTGAGGTCACTCATCGTTCAGAGCCTGTGGTGTAGGATCATGGACCATTCTACCAGGGAGAAAGATGATAGACAACGGACAACTAAAACCATGGCACAAAGGAATACACACTGTTCCAGACCATCTGGCACCTCAGCATCCTCTGGGGTTCTCATGGTGGGACCCAACTTCAGGGTTGGCAAGAAGATAGGGTGTGGGAACTTCGGAGAACTCAGACTAGGTAAGATCTTGGTTATGTCTGTCACTTCTACTAGCAACAGTAACAATTGCTGTACCCTTTGGTGTGTTTCATATAAGCCGGTGATGCTTTATTGAGAACTTCCTCTTAAGTAGGATTTACTAGCATAAGAGATAAGGATTTTGCAAAGGGAGTTAGAGTTATTATCAGTCATGATGCTATTACCCAAGGCTTCCCTATCTTTATGTATGATAGGATTATAAATATTCCATCTAGACTATATTTTTATTAATATTTAAACATTTTTAAAGTTTATTTTATTATTATTATTATTATTATTATTACTATTATTACTGGTTTTTCAAGACAGGGTTTTCCTGTGTAGTTCTGGCTGTCCTGGAACTCCCTCTATGGATTATTATTATGAAAATTCATCATAAGAAACTTTGACGTTTAGACCATTGTGCGGGTAGGATAATTATAGAAGGCCAAAAGGTCTTTCATATTTAGAGATGTGTTCATGTTTGGATTAGCTAAACCAGATGCTACTGAGAGTAGAAGATGTGTAATTTCATACTGGATACCTTTCTAGCAACTATTCAGTTGCTTTAACAACTAGTTTTGCAAATATTCATTCATTTAGGATTGACTTAACTGTTTATATTAGATATGTTATGGAATAAGCATCTACAAAACTTCTACTGAAAAGCATCTTCTAATGTCTAAACTTGTGTATTCTCAGAGCCAAAAAATGGCTTAATTTTCTATGAAGACCAAGTAAAACCTTAGCTAATAGCACTGGAAATTTGTTTTCTTAAAGTCTAAGATTTATACTACAAATTTACATGAAAATGGAAAAACATTCAGTTAAAACGATTTATAACTCTTCTTTCAGAGTACTAGATTTTTGCTTTATTTTCTCTGATGAATCTAGGATACTTTTGGTATTTTCTTAAATTTTTTTTTCTGAGCCATGCATGGTGGTACACACCTTTAATCTCAGCACTTGGGAGGTAGGGACAGGCAGATCTCTGTGAGTTCAAGGCCAACCTGATCTACAGAGTGAGTTTCAGGACAGCCAGAGCTAGACAGAGAAATCTTGTCATGAAAACCAAAATAAACAAAAGACTATCTCTGTGAGCCTGGTATATGTCTTTAATCCCAGTACTCAGGAGGCAGAGATGAATCTCTGAATTCAAGGCCAGCCTGGTCTACAAATCAAGTTCCAGCACAGCCAGAATTACACAAACTTTTTCTAGTTTCAAGTTTGTGCTCTGGTTCTTGTAAGGCAAGAACTTTACCTGCTGAGCCATCTCACTGGGCCCCAATTCCTTTGTAAAAATTCATTGTATTGATTACTGTCTAGGGTAAACGAGTTCATTTGTTTACCTGCTAGTGGCTTCTTCTTCTTCTTTTTTTTTTTTTTGGTTTTTCGAGACAAGGTTTCTCTGTGGCTTTGGAGGCTGTTCTGGAACTCACTCTGTAGACCAGGCTGGCCTCGAACTCACAGAGATCCGCCTGCCTCTGCTTCCTGAGTGCTGGGATTAAAGGCGTGCGCCACCAAAGCCCGGCTTAATGGCTTCTTCTTGATCTTTTTTTTGGGGGGGGGGGCAAGTTATTTGCTCAGGCTGCTCTCAAACTTAGTCAAACTTACTGTGCATCGGAGCTGGCATTGGACCTCTTGATTTTTTTTTGTTGTTGTTGTTGTTGTTGTTTTTCTAGGCAGGGTTTCTTTGTGTACACTGGCTGTCCTGGAACTCACTCTTTAGACCACGCTGGCCTTAAAGTCACAGAGATCCACCTGCCTCTGCCTCCCAAGTGCTGGGATTAAAGGCTTGTGCCACTACCACCCAGCAGACCTCTGATTCTTGCCTTTATCTCCCAGATGCTGGCATTGCAAATGTGTGTCATGGTGCTTCTCCTTTTAACTGCAGAGGGTTTTCTAAGTACTTTTAATTAGTTATTAAGTAGATTGTCAGATAGTATAGCTAGATGGATGGGGCAAAGTGTATTTCATTCGTTCTTTCCTTATGTGGCAATAATACTAATCAGTGGCCTTAATGTTTAAGTATACGGAACCCAAACAAGAAAAACGCTGGCAGGATTAGTCTACTTTCCTTTCCCTACTCTCACTTATTTTAGCCTTCACCTTTTTTGAAACATTGTTTCAGTGTGTAGTATCTTCCTCAGTCTTCCAAGTGCTAGAATTATATGGATGTGCCACTATTCCTTGCCTTATTAATACATTTTGATACTCAAAAGTTTCTTGTTTAGGGAAGATTACAAAGAGTAGAATGTGATTTCTGTCTCTAAAGATACCATTGTCTCTGGTACAAACAGAAAACCAAATCATAAAACAAAACAATATGTTAACAAGTTGTATAGAAACTACATTGGTAGCTATAAGTAAAGATTTCAGAAAGAAGTTATTTGTACTAGGGTTTTTGTTGTTAGACATTAAGGAGGGACTCTTAGTTACAGGATGCAAAAGTGCTAGATATTGTGAGACTATTCAGCATATTATCAGAACAGCACTTGATTATAAATGGCGGAGTCATTAGATGTGAAGTCAAAGCAAAACAAGAGATGGCCTGTTAGGCAAGTAGGAACCACACTGTAAAGCGTTTCCATGATCCAGTGGATTAGAATCATAGAGGATCTTAAAAGAGAGGAATGACAAGGATCTAGTTTGTGTCTAGGAAAGAAGGTAATATCATCTCATCTAGTTCTTGCTCTAATTATGCTACTCACTGCATTGTACTTTGTTCTCTTTCAAGATATGGTTGCATCTCAGCCTTGGTTTTCATATCTGTAACTCTTCTCATTACATATTATATATAATGTATATTCAAAAGAATGGTTGCCTGGGAATCTGGAGAGATGTCTCAGTTTGGGTAAGAGTACCAATGACTTTTCAAGAAGGACCAGATTTGTTTCACAGCACCCATGTGGCAGTTTACAACTGTCTATAACTCCAGTTCTAGGGGATCTAACACCTTCTGTTCTCTGCAAGCGCTGCACACATGTGATACACAAACATTCATGCAGGCAAAACATTTATACACATTATATATATTTTAAAGGCTAGATGAATAAGCCAAGTTAGTATCTGAGTTCTCAGATTAGAAAATGACAGGGACAAAAGAAGAGATTAATTCAAAACTTCAGGACTGACAGGAGTTGTTCAATAGAAAGAGTCAATATGATAAAAATTTACTAACTTTAGACCTTGTAAACAAAGAATGCTTTAATGGGGTTAGTAATAAAGGACTAGGGTAGGTGTTAGGATAAACAAGTAAGATAGTTTGTGACTATATTAGCTTTAACAAGTGTGTGGCAACAAATGTAGTCCTTAAATCCCTATGTACATGTGTTTTTATTATTTACAAAGTTTAGGCTTGATATAGGAATTAAGAAACCGCCATGCCTTCCCAGGTGCTGGTGGAGCACGTCAATAATGCCAGCACTTGGGAAGCAGAGGCAGGCGGATCTCTGTGAGTTGTAGGCCAGCCTGGTCCAGTTCAGCCAGGGCTTCTCAGAAACTCTGTCTTAAAAAGGAGGGGTTACTATGGTGGCTGGAGTGGTTAGGAGAATTAACTGCTCTTGCAAACAACCACATTAGGTGGTTAACTTCCTGTAAGTCCAGCTCCAGAGAACCCAGTGCCCTCTGGCCTCATCAAGCACATGCATGCATGTAGTATACGTAAATTCACACATGTATACATGTGGGTTTGCAGACACACAGTCTCTAATTTTTTTTCTTTTAAGTCTCTGTACAGAATCTGTGGAAATGGCCCAGCTAAGATAGGAGTCCCTGTGCTCCTCCCTGTGCATGCTGGTGTTTTGGTTGGCTTGCGTAGCTCATAGGGTTCACAGCTGCATGAGCTGGTGATTTCTTTTCTTCCCCAACAGTGTACATACGTGGGAGGGTAGAGCAGATAAGATACAAGTAATACTAAAGACCTTTCTTAAAGCTAAATGGAAACTTACTACTGTAGAAGCTTGTGTGTGTGTGTGTGTGTGTGTGTGTGTGTGTGTGTGTCTGTCTGTCTGTCTGTCTGTCTGACTGTATGGTTTAAATGGTTCTACTCTAACAATGGACAGTGTCTGTCTCTCCTAGACACCACTGGCTATCAATTTTTATAATACCCAGTACCAGGTATGGGTTACCACTTAAGTGGCTGGTCAGTGGGACTCCATATTAGCTCCACTAATCCACCCCATTACCATTGTAATTGTTCTTGGTTATCCTCTAAAACCCTATTGCTGGGGACTGGAGTCTCCATCAGTTAAGAGCACCTACTGTCCTACCCCCTCCCCCCCCTTTTTTTTTTTTTTGTTGTTGTTGTTGTTGTTGTTTTGTTTTTTGTTTTTTTCTGGAGCTTTTCCTGGAACTCACTCTGTAGATCAGGCTGGACTCGAACACTAAGATTGAAGGAGTGGGCCACCACCACCCTGCAAAACATTGAATCCTTATATAGAAAAATTAACACAATAGACTAAAGGACTAAATGCAATACCAAAACTATAAAGCTCTTAGAAAACCTAAGATAAGGCTAGGCATAATGGTATACATCTTTAGTTCCAGCACTCAGTAGGTAGACACAGATGATCTCTGTGAGTTCATGGCCAGCCTGGTCTCTGTGTAGAGTTCCAAGGCTAGCCAAGCTGTATAGTGAGACCCTGTCTCAGAAAACAAACTGAAACCCCAAAAACTTAGGAGCAAATTTTACTGTCCTTAGCCATGCTTTTGATCCCAGCACTTGGAGGCAGAGGCAGGTGGATCTCTTGAGTTCAAAGAACTCAGCCTGGTCTACAGAGTGAGTTTCAGAACAGTCAGAGCTACACAAACCCTGTTTCAAGACGGAAATTTTACTGTTCTGTCTGTTTCATGATAGTAGTTTTTTTTAATATGTGATGTCAACGATCTAGTAACTAGAAGAAAACACAGATACAGTATACTTGATAATTATTGAAAATTTGAAAGACAGGATCTCACAGATTTACCCTGAATGGCCTGAAACTTGCTCTGTAGACCAGGC